AAAACTCCAAATATACAGCAGGCGTCAGGGTCGGTATCGAACCCACGACCTCCTGCATACCGGGCGAGTGAGTTAACATATCTCCATTCATTATTCATGGTCAGGGGAAAACACAAAGTCGTAGACGGGCGAGGTCCGTGTTTCACGTCAACCTGTCTCCTCTATTCGCTCGACAAAGGCTTCACACGCTTGTAGGACCAATGTCGGCTGCCACGTCTGAGGTGCAAAAAAATCGGGACGTATCATCGGAAGAAGAATGTCTCACAATCCCGAAAGAGGGCAGAGCTTCATGAAAATCCATCGTCTTGAGTTGGGCTATATTACTCAATGGATGAAAACTGGGGCTTTCAATGTCCCGGCAAGATATACAGATTTCCCAGGACTGCCACCTTCAAAAAGAGGACAATGCTGGGAAAATCAAGAAAAGGTGGCAATCCTACAGCCCACATGGCTCAGAAAGCGGGCCAGTGTCTCGCCCATCAAACGTGGCACCGCCCGTCTCCGGCTCGAGGATTTTGTCAACGTTACACAGCCAGAGTGAGACATCTCTCCGCTGCCCTGTCATAGGTCATCGTTCACATTTTGTACGAGCGAGGACAACAAAACGAAGGACAAGGACCACTTCACTGATCCCTCCGCGAGATGGGTGGTGGGTGAGAGCAGGGGTAGTTACATTGCACAAATGACGTTGGCGGAATAAAGGCAGTGAATTAGAAAAAAAACGCAACTTCGAAAAGGGTCAAACTCAACTGTGAGGCCCAACGAGCCCCAGGATCGCCAGTCAAGCCACACGCTCCACTGGACATCCTTACAGCCCCCGAAGACATTTACTGGGTTTCCAATAAGTATGAGAAATAACTCAGCTTATTAAAACTAAAGGTGCCATCTTCTTGGTTCTTTCGGTAAAGTCACGTAGAAGGGAAATAATAATATAATAAAAAATAAAACATAATAAAATACAATTATCACGACGTTTCGGCCACAACGCAAGCAGCCGTCCTCAGGTGAAGAACAGGTCTGTCGGGAAGAATAAAATAATTCTCAGTGAGAATTCTCAGTGAGAATTATTTTATGTTTTATTTTTATTATTTTATTATTTCCCTTCTACGTGACTTTACCGAAAGAACCAAGAAGATGAATCCCTGCAGTCACGAAAGCTTTAAATCGAAATTTAAAGGTGCCATGTTTGTATTTGAATAAATTGTCCAACTTATTCAAATACAAAATCTGATGGACGCGTACATTTTGTATCCGTTTGTCGAATTTTTTTTTAAACCTACTTTCATTCAAATAAATGCCACTTGCTCGAACAAAGAGAGGTGAAACTGAAGAAGACCCGGTAAGTGTCCGTGTGACTTTACCACGATCGGACCGCAGGTGGCAACACTCGTCTCAGTTACAAGCGCAGCACTTCAAAATGGCAATTCTGTGGAGCAGCCACAATGAGCTCTCAACGCGATCGCTACCCGTCACAAAATAGCGCCGTGGACATGCGGGCTCGGCTCTTTCCATGCTCTTTCAAAGAGGCCCTTCAAAAATCCATGGCGTGTTATCATTTTGGAGTGATAATGATGAAAAAACACTGGCATTGAGGCGTTCGAGCTGAAACCGCGCCCGGTCTCAGGATTCATCTGCAGCGCCTCTCTCTGTTCTCACCACCAGTCGACGAACCGCATATTCCCTTTGTTCTGGTTTTCAGTCGAAATCATTTGCTTCTTTGCAAAGAGCAGACAGCGTTGGTGACTTTTGACCGATTTAAATTCAGATACATTCATCCTGTATCTCCGGCGTGTGTGCGTGTGTGCACGTGTGAGATAACGTGTGTGAGATTATGGGGATCGGTGGCGCAGCGGTTAGCGAAATGCGCTACGAACTCGGCAAACCGGGTTCCATTCCCAAACACGGCAAACACCAGTGACGATTAATCGAACCGGTCCTGCGCCTCCCCTAGGTCGACTCAGCCTCAAATGAATACCTGGTACAGTGTGTAAACATTGCCTCTAGGGAGTTAAAGGCGGTCGGTCGGGCGTGGTGCTGGCCATTGTGTACCGTGCCGGCCTTCATAGGTGCTCGCGAACAGCACTTGCCCCAACAGGGGGATCTTTGTCTTTGAGATATTGTGCAAGCGTCGGATCTGAAATGCTGACGTTCCACACTTCAGATTCAGGTCGAGATTCATACTCTTCAATTCTTTTGCGTTTTTTTTGCCTAAACTCTTTGTTTTAAAACACCTTGCTGACAATCCTGCACAGCCCTGTACCGTGACGTTGTTTAAAGTGGCGGGGGGGGGGTATTCAAAAACTGGGGTGATAAACACATTTTTAACAAATGTCAAACACCAAACCGAATGAGTAAAGATACAACGTAAGGTAAAGCACCGAAAAGTCGTCATTTTGTCGGTGTTGTTGTGGATTTAGTTCAGAGTTCTGCAGCCTTGAATGAAAAATGGCCTAACAGACAAGCTCACATTATTATTGGTTTTTGGCCCAAGACTCCCTTTAAAAGGATCCTTTTGGACAAAACGGGCTCTCATCTGGTTTATATCAAAGATGAGAAAGGCCATGTGTGTGTGGACATCCTCAGACATGTAGTGGATCGCACCCTACACTAGAAACCAAGCCGTCTAAGTTTGATTCCCCGCCACGGCTAACATCAGTAGCACATGATATCTGAACCTGTGCTGGGGGCCCTCCCCGAGGTTGACTCGGCGTTAAATGATAACCTTGTGCGGTGTGTAAACACCAGCAGTGGGGAAAGACAAAGATGACGGGGCTTGGTGCTGGCCACACCGTTCCCTTTGTGCGACGTTCCGGCCGTAACAAATTCTCACGAACTGCACTTGCTTCAAAAGTCTATGCGGGCTACATGGTCGGGGATCTCCGCGTGTGAACGTGCGAGAACGAACTTGAACACAGCAATGCGCTCGAACGTCCTCAAATGAGGAGGGCAATGTGTGAGCGTGAGAAAGGGTGTGGGTTCGTGTCAGAGCATGTGAGCGTGGCAGTTAAAGTGTGGGATTTTGCATGAACATGTGGGGGGCAGTCAGAGCAAGCAAAGGGTGTGTGTGAAGTCTCAAAGAGCATGCACGTGCGCGTGTGTGTGTGTGGGAGAGTGGTGTGCGGGGGAGCGGTAGTGCAGTGGTTAGCTGCGCTACGAACCTGGCGACCCAAGTTTAATTCCTGCTCACGGTCAACACCAGTGACGATTATCTGAACCGGTCCTGGGCCTCCCCTAGGTCAACTCAACCTAAAATGAGTACCTGGTGCGGTGTGTAAATATTGCCATGGGAAGGCAAAGGCGGCTGGGTGTGGTGCTGGTCACCCACCCCCTCATGTACCGTGCCGGCCTTCATAGGTGCCCACTAACAGCACTTGCCTCAACAGTCTGTTAAGGCTATACGGGGGATCTTTGTTTTGTGTGTGCGAGAACCCCTGGTAATAATGTGCAGGGGCGTGCGGGAGAGTGTTAGCGCTTGGGGGCGTGCGTTAGAATGCGTGAGAGAGAATGGGAGCAAGTGTGAGCGTGTGGGTATCGACAAGAACCTGAAAGGCTAAAGGAGTGCGTGGGAGGCGAGGGGAGTGTATGAGAACGCGTGGGAGTGTAAACGAACACACACTTCCGCGTGGCAGCATACGGAGGTATTAGCGAGTCGATAATGTACACTGTTCACTCGGAGGAACTTGACAGAAAAGTTAACCAACGAGATGTCAAAAATCACACAGAGGAATTCCAACAAGTTCACACAGGGGTCGTGGTGAGGTCTGGCCCCGGTAAAATCCCTATGTCGCTTTAGCTCTACCACAATGTGAAAGTGTGGACATACGAGACTACACGATTCATGTGGCACCAGTGGTCACATGTGGGAGTGCATGTTGCAGAGTGGTGCAGTGGTAATTTCCTATTATAATGAGCCAAGAGTGTCAGTGTGTCCCGAGTGTGACGTCACTCAACATCGGCCAGTCCCCTTCATTAATAATCATGAACAGGTGACGTCCTCCACATGGACCCCCCCCCCTCATTAATAATCATGAGTGGGTAACCTCACTCCACATGTAGCACCCCCCCTCATTAATAATCATGAGCAGGAAACGACACGCCACATGGGGGGGCCGAGGCACCTTCTCCCCCCTCCTCAGCGTCAACTTACAACCCTCACTACAAAGGCAGAACCCTCACGTCACGCGATCTCCGTGACGCTGTTGAGACATCGAAGTAAAAAGGACGTCATGATGAACAAGGGATTATAACCTTCAAATTAAATAGGTCTGTGTCACCGCGGCCCTACAAATTGCACACGAATGGATGCAATGACAATCACGTCGCGGTCTGCTTTTCGCTTGCAAGTTGCAGATTTACTGAAATACACCAGATACTTGGAAGAGCAAAAGGCGAGTAAAAATGAGCCTCAAATAGAAGAGCCTGGATTCGATTCCTGAGCATTTCTCTGTGGATTATGTAACGTTATCCCTCTATTCTGCATGGGTTTCCTCCGGGTTCCTCCCATGACTAAAAGAAATATATCATGTAAAAAGTATTGACCACAAATCCTCATGCTGAAAATACTCAACTGGGATTACACATAGCAACATCGCCCATTACTGCAAAATCTGGGCAGGACCTTTTGATACACAGTGAGGATTTCCTGGGTAAACAAGCGTAACAATAAAAATGTTGTGTGCACGTCAGATCATGGGAAAACATGGGAGGGCATGTGGGTAGAGCATGTGGGCGCACGGGAGCTTGTCGGAAGACGAGCGATTGTTTGTAGGCGTGTGCATGAACAGCCCAGCGCCTTGCACGCGTCTGTGTGTGTGCGTGCGCGTGTGCACAGACAGACGCACGTGCACACGTGGGACCACACGGCGTGACCCACGAACCTTACCATGGGAATGCCGGAGTGCGCGCAGATGTGTTCGAGCGAGCGTGAGCACAGAGACGGCGCAAGCTCGTGCGGGTGTGCGCGCGCCTGTGTGCGTATACGCGTGCGTGCATTTTCAAACCTGCTCTGTCGGCGGTGCGCCCTCGTCCCGGATTAAGAGCAGGAGGCTTTGGCCATCTGCCACCATCTCCTTCTTGAAGCGTCCCCCTGCGCACGCAGAAGCGAGCAGTGGCCTTAAAACGGAGCGCCGGCATTGAGCACTCGCTTGCTGCGCAGGTGCTCCGAGCGCCAGTCGACCGCCTCAAAGGAAGATGAAGCCCGGAGAAAGGCACACAAACAGTCGATCTTCTTGCAATAATATAACTTAAATAAACTTCCGTCTCGAGAAATGAAGATGAAAGAAAAATGTGTCTCCTCAAGGAGGCAAACTCTGGACCAGTTTCGATTTTATAGGCATCATTATCAGAGTTAAATACTGCTGGATTGCTAAGTTATTGGCAAGTGCATGCCTTCAAAATGGGGCTCTGCCAGCAGATACATCAATATCACTCGTAGTTTTGTTTTTCATTATTATTTTTTACCTACGTGACTTTACCGAAAAAAACCTAAGAGTATGAATCCTTGCAGTTACGAAAGCTTCAAATCTAAAATCAATATCATACGTAACCTGTCCACGGTTCTAAGTGGGATACGTATTTTTCTAAGCAATAGAATTATAAATGCGTCCTATCAATTTCCTAAATTGATTTTAATGAAACAGCACTTCTTCAAGCAAAAGAAAAAAAACTGCAAACCCAATGCACCTGACAAGTGAAATGACCATTCCATGCGTGAAGAGAAGCGATTTTCTAGTTCACCGTAGCAACCCACACGACGCACACACACCACCCGCACCACGCGCCAACAGCTGCACCATTTACAGGCGGGTGGAAACTCGCAATCGCTAATAGCCGCTCGGCACAGCCAGCGATGGCCGTACATCATTGATAGCGGCATTAAGAGGGCCTTGTCACCTCGCATAAGCATCGAGCCCTGCAGGGGTCGCACGGAAGAGTGCAGTGGGAAGGCGGGGGGGTAGGACGGGCAGGCAGGCTGGCGTTCGCTAACCCACACCTCCCCTACAAACCCACTCCGAATGCGCCTTGCTGAAGGACCCGATCCCCCCTACGCCACAATCTCCACCCCCCGCTCCCCCACTGCCCCCTGAAGACGGCGGGGGGCCGCTTTAAGTGCCACGCCGCCGCCCAGGCGACCCACTAACCCATTAACCAGGCGCACGCGCACGCGCACGCGCACGCGCACGCGCACGCGCACGCGCACGCGCTCCATCCTCTCTCCGCCGGGGGCCTTGATGCCGCCGTGCCAAATTCGGGGAGACGGGAGCCTCGAGTGAGCCACGGCTGATTTGTACGCTGCTCCGTTTGCATCAGGCAGCGCCCGGTGGTTTCGTTTTCTAGCATTTTTTTGTGTCTTTGTTGCAGTCCAAAAAAAAATGTGACTATCTTTTAAAAAGGAAAAAAAATGCTTTTACCGAGGTGAAAAACTAGTTCCGCGTGTATTTTTTGTCACAGCGAGAAGGAAGCACGCGAGGGCGGAAATGTACTAACTCGTTGCACGTATGCTGTGTGCACGCCGTCTCGCCTTCGTGCATCGCTGGAAATCGTCGACGTTTATCGCGGGGTGAGAAAAACGGCGCGCTCGGGGAGGGGGGGATGGGACGGAGCCTCGTGTACGCTGTTGGCGGAAACCTTCTCTGAGAATCAGCGTTTTGTGCGTGCTTTCTGAGACGGGACAGAGGGTGGGAAAAGAGGAGCATGTAGCCACATGCTTGGATGTAAAACTGAAATTTGTTTTCCTTTAATCAACTCCAAAGTAATTAGCACTCCACGATTCCGTTCAGGAAACGAGTTTTAAATAAGCAAGCATCATTGCGATAAAAACTGCACAAATCCTTTCAAGAAGGTTGTGCCGGTTTGTATGTACGTTGAACTTCTTTCGCACCGTACGCAGCCAACCGTCCCTAATCGGAGGTGCACGAATTAACATGAGCGCCGCTTGGCAGGGCGAGAACAAGCCCCGTCGTGTCGCGCCGCCCGCTCGCGGAGGAGGAGGGGGGGGGGGCTGCGTGAGGCTGCCGAGCTCCGCTGGGGGACTCGCGGGAGTGAGATTCGCGAGGAGCTACAACCACAGCTCAGAGTCGGACAACCTTCGGAAGGCTCAGTACCTGTCCACTGAACGAACCCCCGGTCGCTGTCCAAACACCGCCGAGTAAACAATTAACCTCAACACTAAAACTAGAACCCAAACACTTGTCCTAAACCTTATGTCATCTTAAGTCTCAACCCAAGCATTACCCCATAAACCCTAATCCAAGCATCATGTTGAATCCTAAACAAAACACCTTCTACCACCTTCAGCCTCAACGCACGCACTACCTTTAAACCCCTATAGCCTCCATCACCCTAAACCATAAACAAACCCTACACCCTAATCCCCACCCACACCACCCTCCCCTCCAACCCAAAGCCACCCAACTACGAAGGCCACAAAGCTCCTGTGACCCACGGGCACAACACCGGCGCCGTAGCCGACACTGCCACGGGCAGCAGCGCCCGCCCAGCGCTCACCTTCCGGAGACTCCTCCCGCACGTACGCGCCCGTCAGAAAGCGATGCACCAGCGCTGACTTGCCACTGCCGAGGTTTCCCACAATCCCCTGCAGGAGGGCGGCAGTCAGGCGCAGGGAACGGGGTGTGGGGTTTGGGTTAACAATAACGAACAAAGAAAATAAATAGACAACCGGTCGGCCGTCTCGTGCATCTTGAGCCGTGAAATACGGGGCAGCAATCATCATGTGAATGTGGGCCAGCCAGGGACACCAATGTCAGGACCACATTTTGACACGGATTCCATTTTCCAGCGATGTGTGATTGCTCCACTAGAGGGTGGAACAGGGCTCCTGCATCAACAGCCTGCAGGCAGATTTAACGAGCTACCCTGTGTGCATAATGAATAAATATACTCCCATTACTTGACGTATATAACGTTATATATGTAGCATATGTACTACATCTACCATCACGTTGGGTGCGGGTTGACGTACGGAATAACGGTATGTGAAAACGGAAACGGTAAACCGCAAACTGTCCGAGTCGCCGCAGTCGCGCTGACAAGTTAATCAGCGGGCGACGATGCGGATGGATGGCTAGAGCCTGCTAGTTTATAATCGTGCCGCCGTTCACCACGGTGTCACCACGGAGGGCGCAGGCCCAGGATCGCGGCAAATCCGAACAGAAAGGGGCGCCATGGTGGTGAGATGTCAACTACTTCACCTGGTTTGCAGGAGGTCGTGGGTTCCCCATCCTGACACCTGTATATTTGGAGTTTAAATCTCTCTATCCCTGTTTGTCGCGTGGACTTTTCTCCGGATCCTCCGGTTTTTCCCCTCCACATTTAGAATCAACGTGCGTTCAGAGTATTTAGCCACTAGAAATGTCCACATGATATCTCGTTGAGTTATCATTTGTGGCCAGGTCGCTTCTGAAAAAGAGCTACATAGCTCAGTGGGCCTTACCTGGTAAAATAAAAAAAAATTAGTTTAGTTTTAGTTTGAAAGCATCTGACTACACGAGGGCCGTTCGGGGGGGGGGGGGGGGGGCCTCGTGAGCACGTCCGCCACGAGGCGACGGGACAGATGGCAGCAGTGGTGGTGGGAGGGGTGGCGGCTCACCACATGCAACTCCGGCACGCCACGGCACAGGGTCCACTCCTGGCTGTTTACGAACGAGTCTGGAAGACAAAACAATGGGAGGCAAAACAGGGTGAGTGGCGGGAATCGCGGGTTAGTTCACCTGCTCCAAAACAAGGTAAGCCCACCTGCTTCTAAGCCCCCCTCCCCCCAACGCTCCAGGCCACGACTTGTAAACTGTCACGATTCAGGGGTCACGTTTCGATTCAACATTCATTGCTTTTCGTTGTTGTCTTGTTTTCACTGTCGAGTTTGCATTGCTTCGTCGCTTTTTGTAGGGCCCCACGCATGTGTGCGCTTGCCGGGGCCTGCACTAAATGAATACCTGGTGCAGTGTGTAAACATCAGCACTGGGGAGACAAAGACAGCCGGGCGTAAATGCTGGCCAACACCACCTAACCGCCTAGGTGTAACATTTGCATGCAATTTACATATTATTCAAAATGTACAGTAAATAAATGCTGCTGACACGCACGGCATAGGAATCAATGTTAGCCAGCGAATCGTTACATGGTCATGCTAAACCCACGCAAGAGTGTCACGAGAAAGCCGTCAAATACAAACGCTCCAAAGATCCCCCAGTATAGCCTGAACAGACTGTTGGGGCAAGTGCTGTTGTTAGCGAGCACCTATGAAGGCCGGCACGGCACACGAGGGGGTGGGTGGCCAGCATCACGTGATGCACACATGTGCAGTGCTCCCAGAAGGCCTGTGGGTCAGCCAGATGGACACTGAAGAGTGCATTTAACCAAATAATTAATTCGCATTGTCCTTCCCCAGATGTTCACACATTATTCACATTTTCAGTTGGAAGGAGGCTTACACACGAACCGGCAGCAATGATGGTGCAATACAAAATCCACACGCAAACGCACAACACAAAAATGTAAAAATACATTTCTCAATTTTATCTTGATTTAGCCATCTGTGTCGTGTCATGCGACAAAGTATCCATTCAGATCTCTCGCACAGCTGTGCAACCCTTCGTGTTGGACAATGGCCCATGGAAGCAGACATCACAGAGCTACCTCTGCGATCCCTTTGTGTGACCTTAGTTCCACAACGCAGCACTATCCCACTCGCTCTGCCACTGAGAGTAATGTTCGTCGCCTGACAAACAAATTTGAGGATCTCTCATTATTTTTTAAGTAAGACATCATGCACTAAGGGGGTTAGAGGAGCGGATGGCTACGTTGCAGGACTTGCCCCAAAAACTGCAGGTGCGGCTGACAGAGGCAAGGAGGCCGCACGTGATCCTGGGGGAAGGTGTTGTTTGTACAGCACCCACGTGCGCATTTTCACACCAATCAGCCACTTTTGCGGCAACGGCGCGACCACCGGAGGGCTTCAGCACCTTCACCAGGCCCTCTCCGCTCACCGGCTCACATGGCGCTCATCCATTGTTTATCCCTCCCACACTGCTCCTGGCTTTCCAAACAGCCAGGCTGCCCTCGTCTTAACGACAGCAAATAGGCAAACAAGCCCGGGCCATTATTCCCCAAAGGTGGCAAATGGTTGTTGCTCTAGACACATAAATACATTACTGCCCTCCCCCCACCATCCCAGATGTTCATCACAAGGGGGCGGGGGGGGGGCATAGCCGTGCTCACTCCCCCCCTCCCCTTCTTGGGTCTGTCACATGGAAGCCGACGTTACGACCCCAGCGACCTCGCCAATAACCTTGGAAGAGCAGCCTGCTCACCGCAAACTCGCAACGCCGGCGCCGCGACATGTGGACACCACGCACCGATCAACCCGCCCCCGAGCGCAATGTTCACTTAACGTGCGGGAAAGCAGAGGCCCTTTCACAAGTCATTCATTTTAGATGACCAGGTTTAAAGAAAGTAGCATAGACAAAGATCCCCATGAAGTCTGGGTCAAGTGATGGGACCTCACGAGGGGTGCCTTGGCCAGCGCCACACCTGGCTGGCTTGGTTATGCTTCCACACTGGGCCAAGTGATCATTTGAGGGCCGAGTCAACTTTCGGGAGCCCAAGACATGTGAGCCGTAGTTGACGTTAGCTGTGGCTGGGAATCAAACCCAGGTTCCCGGGTTCGTAGTGCAATGTGATGAGTTCTACGCTACACCTCTTATACCACCCCCACGCGTGCCGTGCCTTTCTCAATAAGTGTTCGTGAGTCACACTTTCCCCAAACAATCTGTATGGCTATACAGGGGACCTCTGCCTTTGTTATATGCTGCACACGCAAACTATACAGAGTAATAATTAAAATATTATGTTCACTATAAAAGAATGCAATGCAAACATGACATGTAAATACAATGAATAAATACATATTTCATGTATTAGCGATATTTAACAAAATATGAAAATAAAAAAACACAGATGCAAAAATGATCTGGTATTATTTCCAATGTAATAGATTAGTTCCAAGCTACATTTTGTACTGCTAGACGGGGTAATGCTGACTCATAATAACAGCATTACTGCAAATTGTTACATGCATTGAAAAACACTTTAAACAGAGGGGTAATGGAGGGTTAAAGCCACGTAATATTTTCTTTCAGCACTCACGTACACAAAAGCCAACAATCACTACACAAAGCCAAAGATCGCTCCGGTTCAGCCTTACCAACTGGAGGGACAAGAGCTCTTAGCAAGCGGTTATTAAGGCTGACACGGGCACACACGGGTGGTATGGTCAGAATTTACGTCTGGCTGTATTTGTCTCCCTCGTAGAAATGTTTACACACTGCACCAGGTGCTCATTTGAGGGTGGCTCGACATTCATACTAGAAGACAAAGATCCCCCGTATAGCCTTAACTGACTGTTTGGGCCAAGTGTTGTTCGCGAGCACCTATCAAGGCTGGCACGGCCGACACACGAGGAGGTGGGTGGCCAGGACCACGTCCGGCCACCTCTGCCTTTTGAGGCTGAGTCAACCTAGGAAAGGCCCAGGACCTGTTCAGATAATCGTCACTGGTGTGCATGCACAATGCATTGCTATTACCCTAAAAAGTACTTTATACGGTCTCGGTTCATGCGAGTGGACGAGCGGATCGCTCACTCGGTTGCGCACACGACGGGCTCGCTATGCCACCCTGCGCTTGCCCTCCTCGTTACAGCTGCCACGGCTCTGGATCCCATAGCTGTAGCGCAGTCCCCTCGTCGGCAGGGAGGGGGGAGGGAGGGGTGTACGAATCCAGCAAGCGCCCTCTTGGCATTTTAGAGATCTCCTACGAACCCCTTGAGCCTTCTGCAGATCCGCCCCACTCTCATGAGGTCTCATGACCCCATACACGTCCTCGGGAATCCGCAGGAACCACCCTGTTAAGAACACCCGGTGAGAGTTTCCCAGGTGGCTCTGCTGTTTCTGGGTTCACCTGTGATCAAACAGGGGTCTCGAGTGTAGCGAGTTTATGGTCTGGGCCCGGGCAACGAATGACGGCAGAAAAAGATCCACGTCGCATCAAGTTACAATTTAGTTTTTTGACTTAACTCAGAAAAATATTTCAGCTCTGAGAATTTAAAAAGCGCTCAAACTTGTTTAGCGTATTCTAGATCTGAAGCTTTCGTGACTGCAAGGATTCATACTCTTTGTTTTTTTCGGAAAAGTCACATAGGTAAAAAATAAAATAAAATAAATGAAAACTAAATCAAATCACGACGTTTCGGGCGCAACACAAGCGTCCTTCTTCAGGTGGGGACAACGTAGCGAAAGCACAACCGCTTAAATGTGTCTTGTTTAGTGTACTTGCACGGGCGACAACACTGATGAAAAATAAAATATTTCATTGGTTTCGATTGGCATCTGATGAGAGACTTCTACATAAGAGCATGCGGCAAAGTGCAGCGCCCCCTCGCGTGCGGATAGGAGGTCACTCAGAAGCGGTTCCATGGCACCTCCTGTGTGCTCTTCACTAGCACGCGGTGATGCGCTTGCAGCATCCAGAGATGTTTCGACCGGACATTTCTGTGTCGTGACACGATCGCCGACAGCAAAAACGGAACAACATTACAGAGAGAGAAAAAAAATACAAACACGAAAATATTCTACGAAACAACTCCTGGTTTCAGACACTACGGCGTCTGTTGGGTCTCAGTGTCGCATGCCCCAGGGGAATGTGACCTGGCAGCCCCCCCAAGACCTCCAGCTCGCCTCCTCAGATGCTGTGCGTGGAAGCGCTTCTAAGCGTGATGGCTTTCCACACGGATTATTATAATTAGCTCACATCAAGCAAATCGGAATACTGTATCTGACCGCGAAAAAAAAAACTGGGCCATTCCGCCAAATACGAAAGCCTCGGAGCACAGCGTGATCTGATGGGCGAAAATCAAAGGCGCGCCCGTTATATTTTATTGTTGTTATTCATACCGTGGTTGCCTTGTTTTCTCATACGTGTGTTATTTTCACACACAGATTACAGAAAATACAGCGAGCTCATAAAGGCATGGGGGTTATCCAGGGGCACGTTTATGTGGATACATACAGTGGGATGCCACCACATGTATTCAATCAGCAGGTCGTGTCTTGTGGTGGTAAAGAGTGGGTACTCTCACTACATCAAAGAACATCTTGGCTCTAGCATGGAAGAGTAGGCAAAATAATCCTCTAGAGGGGGTTTCAAGAGCTCCCAAAAGTGCAGGGCCTTTCATCAGTGGGGGCTTGAGAAAGATTTTTGTTTTTTCCAGGTAAGGCCCAATGAGCTATATAGTTATTCTTTGGGTCTTTCGGTAATGCCACGTAGATAGAAAAATAATAATAATAAAAATATCATGACGTTTCGATCGCAACACAAGCAATCGTCATCAGGTGAAAGAATATACAGTAACACCATGGATTGTGAGTAACTTGGTCTGCGAGTGTTTTGCAAGACGAGCATTTTTTTAAAATAAATATTAATTTGCTAAACGAGCGAGGTCTTGCAATACGAGTAGTACGTGTGTACGCTTTGTCTGCCGAGCGTCACGTGATCACAACTGATATAAGAGTGCTTTGATATACGAGTGCTTTGGATTACAAACACGTTTCCCGGAACGAATTATGCTCGCAATCCAAGGTTTTACTGTAGTGGGA